CAAAAATACATCTCCATATAAAACCTCTGAGCTCTACACTGAATTTGGTAAGTTTGTGTAGCAAGAATATTGCTTCTGACAGATAGTAAAGTACAAGAAACTGGGTGGTTTCCAACTGCATAATGTTCATACTCAATTTACCATAACCGATCAATTAGTTTCTATAATATTCATGCCTGTATCTGGATCAGGGGATGAAGAAACAAGCACATGTAGCATCACAATACACTTCCAAAGAATGAATATTGAATATGGAAAAAATTATATGAATAAAATTGTGATTTGAGACCATTATACTACTTCTAGACTAACAAAATTACACTGAAACAGAAACAGCAGGCCACAAGTGGAGAAAACGGAAATAATAAAATTAGCATGTAACAAACTGGTCATGGGATATTTTATAATACTCTGCAGTGTTTTCTTTGGAGGTACCACAAATATCTCTGGTCAGTACCACAAAAGAGAACCGAACCAGGTACCTCCTAAACACAATTAGCCCTTTAAAGTCCAGTGATGACTACATGTACCACCTGCTTTAACAGCCTTTATTCTGTATTTTGCCCATAGACTACATTAATGGGTTCTATATGATTATTATTATTATTTAGTGTTCTGTCTGACGACAGGTCCATATGAACAGGATCCTTCCATTCTTTTCTCGGCCTGGGACCTGTTCATATACGTTCTTGGCAGATGATCCAGAAGTGGTTTGCCATTGCCTTCTTCTGTGTGTGAATGGAGTAATTGTTGGGATGCCACGGAGAAACCGGGGAAGCCCCCGGAGGAAAACTCCGTGTTGCTTATACCACGGCCTTGCCCAACACAAGTTATAAATTCGGGCACCGCCGGGAATCGAACCCGAGATCCCAGGATTACAAGGCCAGCGTTCTAACCGCTAGACCACCATGGCACGGTTCTATATGATTATAAGAATCAAATGTGATCTTTTCACTAATCAGCATTAACCAAATAGGCCTTGTAGTAGAGAAATGTTGTTTTTTTCACTGCTGTAGGAACTAAATCTTTAAATGTTTATTAGGTAAATTTCAGTTTCAGATGGCGAACCTGTGTTATTGCTTAACCATTTGAAGCCAAAGTTCATACTGCAAAGAAAACAGAAAACTTCACCATCACAAAGATTAACTGGTTAGTGGTTAATGAAATAATTGTTGTTTTTGAGAATAATATAAAACCCATAAATACACACTGTGGGCAAAATGAAGCCAACGTTAAAGTAGATGGTACGCATAATTACCAATCGGCCTTAAAAGTTTAAGCTATCTTTTTTAATCAAACAATTTGGGAACAGTCTGGAAAAAGATGCCTATCTGCTACATTTGTGGTCATATACAGTTTTACAAAGATACTGACATTTTTGTAGTAATTTACCAAAAGCTCTTGGCTGTTCTTCCTCCTCTTCACTTTCTTCCTCTTCTGCCTCCTCACTATCCTCTTTAGTATCTTTCTCACCCTCCTCTTCCTCTCCTGCATCTTCTTCACTCTCTGCAGGTGAAACTCTTTTCTCTTCCTTTGTATATTCTTTCTTTGTTGGTGCTTGTTGTCTGTACTTTGTCATGTAGTCTTCAAGCATTTCTACTTTCTGCAATTTCTCTTCTTCATCTTCTGCATCTTCATCTTCAGAATATTCAGATCCTAAATATCAAATGTAAAAATTTCCTTGCATATTTCCTTCACAAAAATAAATCTACCATTTAATAATGAAGTTATTTCACCATTTTAACATTAACCAAAACAAAATGTCCATGGTGGAAAATAAGTTATGTTTAGTTCATTCTCATCTGCATATATAGCATCAAATAACAGACAGACTGAAAATTAAAACTAGAAAGTCTATGGAAGGAAGTGGTAGTGGTGTCTTAAGCTGACTGATTCTAGTTATTGTCTCTGAGTTTTCAGGCCTCTTAACTGCCTGGTAAGCACAAAGAAATTCACCCAAAGAACATTCAGGCCTCTTAACTGCCTGGCAAGCACAAAGAAATTCACCCAAAGAACATAATTCCATTCACTCTCAGTGATAGGGTTGTTATGAAGTCAGCTGGCGGAAGGGACTTTTGCTTAACATGAACTCCGAACCACACTACAGGCCTATGTCACAAAGTTTTGATTCTTTCAATGATAAGGGATTGACGGAAAGGACACGCAGATGATTTGATCTCTACAAAATCTAAGACATTTGACATGTGAGTCTGGCATCTTATACAAATCATAAGTACTACCGCTGCATAAACAAATTTTCACTTGGTAGTAACAAGCAATGACGGTAAGATAATAGAATAAAAAATTAGAAAATCACAAATTACAGTTCCTGAACCTAGATCCTAGAGAGGTATGGCAGCGACACTTAGAACCTGCATTCGGTTTCAGTAATGTTACTTAATGATGATTTATCAATTGCAGATGTTACATTCATCCTCAAATGTGATTATGTATAATGAAGTGGGAAGGAAAAGGTTATGGCAAATTTTAAGATACTATTCCAGCATCTATCTGTAAGGAATTTGAAAAACCATAAAAAATCTCAGTCATAAGCACTGGGCCCTGGTTGGGATTCAAACAGGGTATTTTCCATATGCAAGTCAAATTGCTGCTCTGCTATGATACTCAAGAGATTGAGCCACCTTGACCAAGTGCCACGCAGTGCCCAATGCCAGAAGTTCAACAATACTCTGACTTCACCTTCAAGGTCATCTTGTGCATTATCCTGCGGTATCAGTGTCTGTCGCCTCTCTATCAAATCTGGCGTGATCTCTTCCACACCATGATCGGTGCCAATTGCTTGTCCTGGTACAGTTGGCTGCACTGTCACACCATCATCTGTAAATCAGCCAACATTACCACGCCAGCACAGCAGCCGGCCTTGTACACATTCTTAATACCTTTAACTTATCACTGTTAAACTTGCCTATAACATTTTACATTGCCCATATCATCACAAATCATTTGGTTCTTGGAAAAACTGTCAACACATTCACAGCAAGGAGTTACAAACTGAGGGATACGGCCAACATTTGCTACTGATAACTACTCAGTTGGTCACAAAATTTCCTTGCCTTTATGAAACCTGAAGGTTCATCAGTACCTACATAAAAGCCCATTATCAGACCACACCATGAGTCAGATGAATCCAATTCATACCCTCACAATCTCATTCCTTAATACTCATTTTAATACTGTCCTCTTATCTGTGCCTAAGACTCCTGAGCGGCCCTTTTCTTGTGGTTTTCCAAACAAAATTCTGTATGCATTTCTCAATTCTCCAATATATACTGCATGTACCAGACACCCATCCTCCTTCATTTAACCATCATAACCCTTCTAAACCTAAGGTCCTCATTATACAATTTCTTCCCTTATGTTGCGTCCTCTCCCCTAGACCCAAATATTCTTCCCAACATTTGTTCTCAACACCCTAAAATCTATGTGCTTCCCTGTCAGAGATCAAGCCTCATACCCACATAAAGCAACAGATAAAATTATAATCTTTACATACACAATCCTTAGATTTCTACATGAGTTGAGAAGATAAGAAGATTTTGAACTGAATAATAGCAAAAATTTCTCAAAGTTAATGTTTTCAATTCACCCATGAATATCAGTTGTAATGAAACACACTATTGTATATCTAGTATGCACTATTACTATCAAGAAGCATTGCTTTTTGCAATGCTGCCTTTCCATGTTTTCAATTTAGTTGTTAAGAAACTGTGCTGAACAATGTAATTTGATAAATGTCCAGTTTATTTCTATAATGACACTGTACAGACAGCTGTCATGTCAGATAAAGCTAGTAAAAGAGTTAACAGAACACCCTTTTATGACATAATTACCCTCAATATTGTTATGGACAAGTTTAACACTAACTTCTTGTTTTCTTTTAAAGAATGTACAGAAAAACTCTGTAACATTTCCAGCATTAAATTACATAAATACTGAGCAATCTAAAAAATGCTATGATTCTCAAGCAAATCTTAGACATGGCTACAATAATTAACAAACTGGTATTGCTATAATTTGAATATAAGATTTTCCATAACAGCATTTTTTGAACAAAACGTTTGCCATAGCCACATTCATAAACTAAAAGACTGACATAACCACATTTATGTAAAAAAAAAATTGCTGTAGCTTAAGATATACATCAACTAAGCAACATTATTTTTACATGAAATGCAAATTAATCTTCAAATTTCAAACCACATATACATGCTGTTTATACTGTACTCTTGTACAGCTATTAACACAACATATTACAGAGAATTAAAAGTGGCTTTCACCATTTAACCTTAAATGCTCAGATTAAATTTGGAACCTGCATCCAATTCTCTGACCCCTGCCCCCAGAGAAATTTCACTTGAATCTAGTCAGTATGTATCTAGCTACCTATCAGAATAACAAAGTAATTAATTAACTTTCTGGTACTAGAGCTATGAAGTTCAACAATGTTAATCACAAAGTCCACTACTAGACATGATACTGAGCCACTTCAGAGCATGCAAGACGGTAAAATTTCTTACCTCCTCATTCATTCACACTCGATATGCAAGCTACATGGACATGAGCCTCGGTCAGATTAAATCTAGTTCTTATCCTCACAAGCTATTT